CCTTGGTGCAGTTGGGTTTCGGGCATAGTACTGTTTTCTTAGAGTTGGGAACAGAATCCGCACAGACCATTTGGCATGTACAATTGGGTTTGCTTGAGAATGCCTTTGGTGCCAATGGTCTTTCATTATATTTCTATGGGACTTTGATCTATGAAGCACGTGATGAAGGAATGGTTTTTTTTTTTTCCCCTTAAAGTAATAAGGTACAAATATAAAAACAATACAAGTGCATAGAGTAAGATTTAACCATTTAAGCAAATATATAAAATCAGTATATGTCATGAGAAAATCAGTCATTTGTAGCAATATAACCCATAATCTTAGTTTCCAAATTTAATCAATTGATTTGAAGCGTACAATTTCCATATTTAATACCATTTCGAATATTTTACTAAATTTGTTTTAAAAAAATATATTTTACCATGTTATATATTTGTTATCAAGTACTAGCTTTGCCTGATTCATTTGTGCTAACTCTTTCTCGTAATTATTAAAATATAACAATATTAACTCATAATTATAATTCTTAATTGATCTCTTTTCATATGTAAAATATTAGGTAAAATAGTATGACTTATAAGAAATAATTTATATAAATGTTTAGCGTACTGGCGATAAATGATAATTCATGGCCAAAAAAATAAAAAAAAAAGACGATAACTGTTACCAAAGAAGCTGACCTAAGGAGTATTAGAGTTCCGAGATTTTATTTTGTATATGTATCTTCTCGATAAAATTATATAATTGTTTATATGTTATTCTCATCAAATGATAATAGGCTTCTACCAAAAGAGTGTTTTAATTTGAATAAATTGAAAGGGACCAAACTCTGATGAATTATTCTTATCTAAAAGGAAAATAATTAAAAAATAATATTTTTATATAACTTTACATATTATTATTTAATAGTTTGTTCTTTTCACACATATAATATATATTGTATATATAATTTTATTTAATAATATATAAAAATTATATAAAAAATTATATAAAAAAATTATCCATATATCATTACCTTATCTAAAATTAATATTGTATCTTTTTTTTCAGTAAAGTATGGAAAGATATCTCACTTCTTATGAGGGGTTTAGGAGAATAAAGGAAAATATGAAACTTACTAGGAGAGAGCATCCCAATTGAGTGTCTCAGCTTTAAATGGTTAACAGCTGAGACTTAAAATTAAATATTTCAAGCTTCCACAATTCAGAGGTGAAAGGAAATTATAAAACGTATCAAGTTGAAGGGAGATCTCTCGAGAAAAATTTTCTGAGATAATATCTTTTCATGATTTAGGTCTCTATAACTTAATCTAAAAGTTAAAAGACTTTTTCGTTAAAAATTAAAAAATAAATAAAAATAAAAATAAAAATAAACTTAGATCATGAGAGACATGTCTCAAATGAAGAGGTGGATCAGCTACAGCTACCACCCTGAGAAAATACTGCTTTTAGCTAGGTTTCGCCCAAGTTAAAAATAACTAAAAACCACAAAAGTTGCAGTTTAAGTTAAGAGAAGGTTATCAAAGAAACCTAGAAGAAGAGCAAGGAATTCCACTCTTTAATTTTATTTACTCTGTCCAATCATTTTTAGTTGTTTTAGTTCTTCAACTTTATGTAAGTTAATTTAAAATTTTTATATAAAAAATGAATATTAATTAAAAAAATTTAATCTAAATAAAGATTCTTAATATAAAAACTATGTATTTTTTTTCAATTATTCTTTATCTATTACATAAAATCATCCAATCAAATTTTATAGAAAGATTTAAACTAAGACAATTAAATCAAGTTGAAGAAAATAGTTAGTATTCTTTCATTAATTTAATATCAATATCTTTTATAATAAGAATGCAATATCATTAATTTATGAAAGCCATAGGTTACCGACCGAGAACAAGCTTAGAGAAGACTCAGACTAAACTAGCCTAGAGCCCCAGCACTGCATGTATAATTAAGCATAAGAGACACAAAACAAAAATGAGTGTGGTCTCCCTCTTAAACACTTTGCTCTGTATATATCAAGTGATATAAAAAATACCATTTAAATTTATAGTAGTCTTTATATATGTATTTCACTTTTCATTGTATCTTTCCAATGTAAAATTCCACCAATAATGCTCTTCAAATTAATCCAACAAGCACCAATTGGCAAGCCATTGGGCTGGGAGGGAGGGGCGGGGGGTGGTGCTTTTGAAGGCATCCTGTGGGGCATGGCTGGTTCTTGTCTCCTTTTGGTATGATCATCATGAGAATTGTAGGTTTTGCCGTCCATTTGGTGTAGGACCCCACAGTCGGCTTTAGCAGAGGCGTCCAATGTTATCCCTTTGGACATGGAACATGTATATTGGTATTCCCATATTGCAATAATTGACCTAATTTAAAACCTCAATTTTGAATTATATTTTTTATGAGCGTCCTCCAACTTAAAAACAATGGACAGGAAAGAGACTTTCTTGTATTAAAGTTTACATGTTTGAGAAAACAAAATATTAAGACATCTAACTATTTATAAAATTATTTAAATGCTTTTATTAATAAATCATTTTTACATAATAATTTATTAAGAGTATTTAAATTTTTTCATTATTATTCTTAATATTTTAATATTCAAGATATCATGACTTTTTACAATCTCTACATGTTTTTCCTGAGATTTTATTTCACTTAATAGTATCACTTCTTCCTCTCCTTCCTCTTTTTGTTCTTCTTTTCCTCCATTTGTTGTCTCTATGCTTATCAATGGGTTAAAAAAGACGAATAAAGGTGGGATTATCTCCTTTTATTTGATGATATTCTCTCTTAAAGAGACTTTGTCATCCTCTTTTAAAAGTTTTTGTCTAAATTTTTTTAATATCTCATCAAGTTTTGGTCACAATACACAATTAAAATAGCATAAATTTGAGGCTAAATAGGTTCGATTCAGTTGCAATACTTCCTTTAGCTATTGATAATATGATAAAAAAAACTAGTCCTTGAATAACCTTTTACCCAAAAGATGCAATTACCTACTAGAAAACAAAGAGAGCCATGACCTCGGTGTTCTTTTTTAGTATGGCGTGTATACAAACACAATTTAGAGAATCGTGATTTTTTATATTATTAAAGCAAACCCCATGAAAATGATGGGACAACGTGTTATGCTCCATTCACAGGCCATTCCCAGCAGCCATCTCCCATGGCTGCGAGCAATTCAGACATAGCAACACCACACACATTATTGTCTTAGAAATCAAAAACCAATCCAATTCAGGCAGTACCTCTCATTTGCAAACTGATAGATTTATAATTGCTGTTTGATTTCGACATTCTTCAACTTGTCTAATGCTCTCTACTAATTGTTAATAACGGAATTCAACTTTTCTTCTGTTCTTAGTTCATTCACTATTACATGACGGACAGAAATAGTATATATTATATTGATGATTCATTCCTTGACTTGAATACTTGAGAGTAGCTTCAAATTAAAATTATTGGTACTTATAACGAGTCATGACACCAAGATGGGATTAAAAGAAAAAGAAGAAGAGAATTTGATGAAAATTTTATATTTACATAGCATGAAAAACTTCGCTCATGAAAAATTGAAATCCTAGGTAAAATGAATCTAGTTTTATAAAAAAGATTACACAACCTAACAGGAGCAGTATATAGATAATCAAAATTTCATTATTACAATAATGAAAAATTGTTGTATAATTTAAATTACACAATAAAAATTATTAGATAAATGATAGACCTCTTGATATTCGGGTCTTCTCCCTATTCAACTATTATTTTTTGTAATTTAATATAATTTAGATTACAAAATAAAAACCTCTTACAATAATTATAACTCATACAGGAGGGGGAATTAAATTATTTAAAGAATTTTAAATAGTTTTACTTACTCCTTATATTCAGATTTAATTGTCCTATTTAATATTTGTTAAAGATTTTTCAAAATTCATGACCATAATCTCCATTGCTCTCACCTGGACAATCCATGGTCTTAGCTGACTCCCTTTATCACTGGACCAAATGTTGTTCTTAAAAACAAATTTAACATTAGTAATTCATAATATAATGAGGAAAGGGATGAAAAAAATGCCTCTCAAATCAACAGAAAAGATCAAAAATCAAGTTAAGCAAAATTTACTAGAACTTGATTAATTTCTCGGAGCAAATGTTCTATTAACTGTGTACTCCATGGTTGGCTGTAAGATTAATATAAGATTAGTCATATTTGTATAATGTATTATTGTACTTTGTCTCTCTAATATCATTGACTCTAATTGTTATAATTTTTATGATTACCCTTTAGTCATTACTAATAGTAACTAAATCCAGATGTCGCCTGACACGTTAGCTCATTAACAGTCGGATTTCAAGTATCTCTTGCAATAATCTGCCACCAATAAAGTTTGGAGTAAGGTTTAATCTTCTATACACGTTATTAAAAGAAACAATATATATTTTTTAAATGATTAATCTAATGGTAGAGCCATGATTTTATATGGTATTATGTTAGTGCCTTAATTAGAAAAGCTTGTGATTGCCACAATCCCTAGAAAAGTTAACCAAATTCATTGCTATGTAGAAAAGGTGAGGAATTGATTGGTAATGCTCTTGAGATGCAAGGAAAGATGACCAGGGTTTTGCCAAATCACCTGTAAAGAGTCCATCATGATTAACAAGGAAAACGAAAGTAAGTCAAACCCACTAAAATATTATCTTAGCTGGCCATTGGATAAATTGTTACAACAGTAGTAACTTGGTTCATTTGAGGGTTTAAGGGGGGTTTACTCTTGCCTTTACTAAGATTTAATGTTTTGCGTAAGTAATACGTATGTAATTTCTTAAGAATCCTTGAGTTTCAAAATAAATAATTTGTATGGGCACAAGTTAATCTAGATACTAAATGACTATCATACAAAAAAAAAAAAAACCTCGTTTTCAATTAAGGATATGAGCTTTTTTCTTTATTAATCAAGATTACCACATCTCTAAAGTTTCTAATTAAGAATATAACCTTTACAATTTTTTTGAAAAAGAATTAAATGAATGTCCAAAGTTGTATCCTTGATTAGAAACTTTTGAAATGTAGTAGTTTTAATTAGTAAAAAGACAATAATTAATACACCATCCGGTTAAAAACACATTCTACAATATATTTATTAAAAAATTATTAGTTTCAAATTTGAATTTATAATGAGAAAATTTGTAAGGACAAATTTTAATGACTGGATCAATGGATGTTGGTAGATGCATTGAATCAAAGAATATACCGATTATTTTCCTTAGTAAAATCATAAAGATCATATTCTTAATAGAAAACTTTTGAAAAGTAGTAACATTGATTAACAAAGAAAAAAAATGTCATATCCTCAATTAAATTTTTTTTAAAAAAATTCTATTCTTATTTATACAAAATCTCTTGCTTTCTAATTTACCATGTAGGTTTTCACTTCTAAAATTTATTTCAATTTCCACACAAACATCTGTTCCCAACCCAAAGTCCCATGTCCAAGTGACAAAAAATTCTTCATGAAAGGAAGAATTAATGATACCATTCTCCATCATCCTTGCTGCCTATCTCTCCATCTGCACATGCTAAGTCCCTGACATGCCTGTCTCTTTCACGTAATTCTCCCAAAACAACAAAAGAAATACATCCCAAAAAAAGGAAAAAAAAAAAAAGAAGAAAAAGAACTGTCTTTGAACATAGGGTGTGCTGCACATGGCCTTGGACAGAGGAGCTTATTACATGAGACAAACAGCTAATTCAACTGAGACAAAGAAGTGAACCTCTGAATTATCCAAGGCAAGCATTAGCCACCAAATCCATTGCACCATCCATCAAATTCCCCACAATGCCGATTGCCAAGGCCAGACCTTATATGATCTCTTGTTCCATTCAGCCTTCTCAAAGCAATATCATGACATATATGGAGCAACAAAGGAAATAATAGGAAGGGCTGCTGTTGTTGTTGTGACTAAAGCTAGAGGAATAGAGGTGGCAGGGGAAGTGGATTCCAATTCTGTAGGAGAAGACCTTGAAAAGGCTTCCCAATCTTTTCTTCTTTCCTGCAGCAATCTGCTTGATAAACCCAGAAATCTCCGCCTGCAAAATCATTTTCTTACAGATCCTGATTTTGGCAATAGGTGTGTGGTACATATTGAGGAACTCCTGGAAGCTGGAAATACCCTTTATAAATGACCTCACATGGTGTTAAGTTCCATATCTCAGGTAAAGGTCAAACAGTACTGACTTCTTGCCTTGCCGTTGCATATGGAATCAAGAGCAGGTCCAAAGGTAAGACAACAGTATATGTTCTCAACAGTAAAAAAATTGTGGAAAATTTCTGTTAATTGGCGCTTTTAATCAATGTATTCAGGTGGCGTAGAAGTCAATTCAATTTTAGGAAAGGGATTTTAATAAGCATATTATTACATTATCCAATGAAGAAAATATACCTAATTGCACATGCATGGTAAGATGAGTATCAACAGCTATGTAAGGTAAGTGCTAAACCTGATGTTGAAGACAGAACCTTCAACAGTTAATGTTGTCCTGGAAAACAATATTTTGAGTTATCAATAACATCACAAGGAGGTATGTACCAAAAAAAAATAACATCACAAGGAGGTATTTTACAGAAGAAGTTTGTTTGGGAGGCGAGAAAATGCACCTTCCTGAGAAAATGCAAAACGCTGTAATGCCAAACCGGTAAATGTCTTGACTCTGTTCCCTTGAGCAAAACGTTTTGAGTCCAGAAGTTTTTCTTCTGCTTATTGAACCCAAAAGCTTATTGAGTGTTTGGGCTAAACTGGGCTTAAGTTGTCATCTAGTCTG